ATATATATATATATATATATATATATATATATATATATATGTGCATATAGTAGATGAGACTCCTTTGAACCACAGACTACATTAAAACAATTGGGTGTCAATGGTTATACAGCCACTGTTATTTGTTTGATCGTCAACTTTAAAAACCACCCTACACAATGTGCAATGATGACCAAGTTTTATTATAATACTCACAGCCATTTTTGCTATAAGCTGGCAAAACAATAATAAATAACAATAAAGAAGAACAAACGGGCAATCCTTATTGTGAATCACTACCGTGGTTCATGATTCTGTTTATGCAGAATCCTCAAATGTTTAATATTCAGCTCTGTAAAATGTTGCATTTGGGTTTATTCTAATCTACTCAATTTGTTTTTTACTCTACAGATATAACCATTAGTATATTTTTTTCATTTAATTGTTATTGTTTCAATAAAGCTTAAGTGGAATTTTTGGCTGCATAAATTACACTTGTTCAACATAAGCTTTACTGAAACAATAAAATGTCAATAGAAAAATATAATAATGGATATATCTGTAGAGCAAAAAAAAAATTAAAAGATTAAATTTAAAGCTGGTCTATATTTTACATGTAGCTTGTAGTGGTCAGGATAAAAAAAGATGTCTGCTTGGGATTTGAGTTCTAGTAGCTCAATTGGTAGGATCATTAGCCTCAGAACACTAGGGTGAGCCAAGGTAACTGGCTTCAAACAGACTGCTTTTCCCCTGTTTCTGATTATTACATGGTAAATACAGTTCTAATCTTACCGCAATTCACTTCCTTTAAGTGAGAAATCTCCTAAAAATGTCGGTGCTATGCATTTTATTAAGTCTTCTTCAACACCTCCTGCTGTAGTCACCAAACAGTCAACCTATATTAAGAAAATATAACCCACAAGAACTGTCTTTACACTTTCTTTCTTCTAAATTATTATAGAAATTTTTTAATTTCACTCCAGAGAACTTTGAATTGTATTGTATCCATAAAAATGGAATTCATTAAGTATATTTTGGAAATAAAAGATTTTGTTAATTGTCACACTTCTTCCCACTCAAAAATATACATAATTAACAGGTTCAAATAACATTTGTGAAATTTGATAATATCTTTGTTTTCTGTGTATTACAAATAAAAACCCTAATATAAATTAAACATTAATCATGTGCATGAAAAAACATTACGAACAAATTTTGTAGTTAATTTATATGAAACAATCTATTATACATTTCTGGCAACAAAGGGTACATGAACTTCTGTGATGTTGGTTCAACTGTCAAAATAACAAACAATCATTCAAAATCTAACTTAAATCTTATGAACTGTTTCTGTTCACCTACAATAAAAAGTAAAACTGGATAGTGTTGATATATCTGAATAAGGACTATTCAAAAGCCAAAGATTATTGTAAAATTTTGTTCCTTTAGAGCTTTTTCAAAGCAGTTATAATATTTTCAAATGTAAATCTTACTTATAATGACAAGATTTTAAGTCTCAATATACAATGATTACATATTGGTGAAACTTACCATTTTGTGTTGAACTAAAAAGCGTATCACCTCACGAACACCTGCAGAAGCCATGTTTGAGGTATATCCAAGAAAAATAGTGCAATTTGTTTTTCTACGAATAAATGGGTCTGTTTCTGCCACATCATCAATTCTATCAGCAGGTGGAGAGTTTCTACACTGTATCTGTACATAACAAAAATTACATTTTCATTTTAAATATAAATAACTAAAAAACATATAGTGTTCTATTTAGTACAGTTCATTTTATTTATAGATTGTTTTATCAAAAATACCCTCAATAATAAGTGATGAATAAGGTAAACTTGCCACTGACCATATTAAATAGAAGAAGTCCTCTCTCTCTAAGTACTTTTAAGTATTTATGTATTATTTTTAAGATCAATTTCAACAGTTGAGCAAAAGATATTAATATTTTACAATGAAGAAAAATTTTAGAATTAAGAATAATAATAATAATTTTATTTTTACACACTTAAAATGTTTATTCACCAAGATATTGAAAGTTGACTCATTTGTAATGCTTATTTTTTTAAAATCCTTAATAATAATGGCTTTATATGAATTTTTACTTGCCATATTGTTAATTTCGTTAACAGCTTGTCCAAAGCTTGTTGCTTGGAATCCAGTAGTGCTGTATGACTGAAGCAAAGCATGGTAATCAATGCCATCATTGAAGTCATACCCTTTCACAGCTATTTTTTTCTCAGGAAAGTTTTCACTTTTTTTAAGAACTGCTTCAGTCACTTTTTTAAGAATTTCAGAATCAGAAGACATTGCTTCATTGAGTCTGCAACTAACTATGTATATGATACAAGAATGAAAAATACATAACATTACTACCCATAAAAACCTTTTTTAAATTAAATTCCTGTTCATATCGTCTCTAAAACCTTATCGTACAAATACAAACATCATATCTATGCACTTTTTAATCATTTTATTTTGATCTCAATCATTAACCTAATTCAAACAGAATACTTTACTACTTATTAATTTCAGCTTTTGTTTGGGATATCAGTAATAAAGTAATTGAACAAATTAATAACTTTATGAACATTATTTATTCTCTAGCACTTGAAGCTTACATTTGTTATGGTCAATGACTTCAGGTACTTTAAACAACAACAAAGTATCTCAAGACATATGGAATCATGCCAAAAATTAATAATACTTTCTTCAGCTTTGGATCCATTCCTTTAAGAAGCCCCTACTATTTATCTTTGGAACAAAAACGACAACAAACAAACTGAAGAATGGAAGAGCAATTAACAAAAGCTACAACAGCTATTTGAACATAAACTGACAATAATAAATATTTTTAGTATTCCAAAAACTGTTTAATCTCGAAAACTAAGTTCAAGTAAGTCCAGTTCAATCTACATTTTAATCACAGGTTATTAGGTTATACTAGTTTCGAAGAATTCCACTCCTCATCCATTACCCTGAACACAAGTTAACCAAAGAGAGATAAGCTGTACCTATATCATAGTGAAAAGTATGAAACATACTGCTGAAGTGAACATACTTTATCGTCAGTGTAAGAAAAACCTATACATTAGATAGGTGAAGTTAAGAAAAAGTGTCAATGGCCACTATAGAATTTGGCTATATAATATGAAGAACTGAATAGTGGCCAATGACACATTTTCTCATAGGTTTTTCACATAAGGACTATAAATCATGTTCACACCAACAATATGTTTGATAAACTGAGAAACTGAAACCTTAGTACTAAATAAACCAAAATGTGGAAAAATTAAAATATATTAATGCAGGATGTTGTTGTAAAAAAAAAATATAACCTATGTTGTAGAAGTGATATCATTTCACTATCTTGTATATTTTGCTACTCTTCTTAACAGTGCAAAACAAACAAAAACAATCGTTGTGAATAAATCTTAAAAATGAAACCATTAATCACTAATTAGTCATTTAGGCCCAATACAATATATCAAATTTGATTTTTTTTCACTTTGAAAACAAAAAAAAGTTAAATTATTTATAATAAAAGGAACATTACTAATTATTAGTTATAGTATTACTATTAGTCAAAGTTCCTTGTAAGTTGTACCGAAGAAGTTCCAATTTCTAATTCTAATTGAATAGGAAGAAAGCAAGAGGAAAGAAAAAAGTTCAGATGTAAGTATAACAAAGTGTACGTCCAAATTCAGTTTTATCAATTAAAAATGTAGAAGTTGTCCAAATACTCCAGCGTTCTGCTGGACATACTCAAATTGTCTGAACAAGAAGGAAACCTCAATGTCACAGATAAAATTAAAAAGAACTTGGAGTTGGAATAATAATAGCAGTAAACAACAGAGTTAGTAGACTTCAGAATAGAAATACATCTACTGTATTATACAAGTTATTACATATTTAGCTGCAAATTGTAAAAGCCTAAGCATGGTTAGTAATATAATAACATTAATGCTAACAGTAATAATGAAAAGATTAAACTTTCAGTTTCAAGACCAAGAATAAGTTTCTCTGAATCTGAATAATTTTGGAAAGAAAAACATAAATAATACTAAAAGAATTAATACCTGAATGAATTACAGAGCAGATATAGGCTCAATATAACAGAAGAAAATTAAAAGTTTCTGTACACATGTATCTCACAAATAATAATGAAAGCCTCGTACATGTTGTACTACGACAGTGAAACTACATGTACTCTACCAAAAACAACTCGTTTTCAAGAATTAACGAAAGCGACCTCTTCCACGTAGTTAGACACGACCTGCACATTTTGTGTAACTTTACGAAATATTTGAAATCGAGTTCTTTTGTATTATATCGAAACTTAATATTTGCACAATTAAAAGATAATTTCATGTATAAAATACAGCTTTTTAACGAAATTCAGTTACAGCTTTCTTATTCTGATGATTTTTAATCGAATGCCTAATTCATGGATTAGGTGGTCTGTGTGTTGTAACCTCCGAATTTGTAGTATTATTATTTTAGAGTTAATAAATATTAATAAAACAATAAGAAAAAAAGTAAAGTCTAAGTTAAATAAAGTTTAGCTAAGACAGTTTTACTTTTCTAACAGGGTGTTTTGGCCTTTGGAATGGGTTGTTTTCGGATGTTGTGGAGGCAGAAAAATTTAAGTGAATTTAAGAGAAAGCTTGATAACTATGTGGATAATAATTGCTAGCTATAAGATTTTTGAATTATTTAATTTTTTAAATTACTTTCTCTTAAAAAGAAAAGAAGAGTTAGACGGGATCGGGTTGAGGTATTGCAGACTGTAAAGGGAATGGATAGTGTTAATGCATCATCTTTTTTCATACTTAACAGCGATAATAGTAGGATTAGGGGACACAGATATATTATTACGCCTCCGTTCGTTAGTTAATTTTCCGTAAAAATTCATCCGAAGAAACTTTACCGATACAAGTCCTTTCTTGAATAAAACTGATTTATTTTTTCTGAATACAACTTTGCGATACACTTAATTTCAACAGTCGCGCTATAACAAACGCTATAATTCACAACGAACGTCTCACGTGCTCGATTCAACAATATTCTCTCTCTGTCTGCAGTTCAATTACACAGCATTACCCTCAGTTCTTACCCGTTTATAAATACAAGACTACCGCATACCTAGTAGGCTCTCGAGATTTCAGGAAGACGTGTTACTAGCGTCACGTGACCTCCGCTGTCGTAACAATATATTTTGGCAAGGTAGGAGTCGTCTTCAGTTTTATTTTTTTTAAGAGGGTGGTTGGCTTTTGGAATGGGTTGCATTCGGATGTTGTGGAGGCAATAAATTTAAGTTAGTTTAAGAGAAGGATAACTATATGAACAATAAGGGCTGGCTTTAAGATTTTTTACATTTATTTATTTAATGGTTTTAATTTAGTTTAGATGATGGGACAGCTGAGATGTTCCAACGAGTCTCTTGTTGTCCCTAAACATTATGTAATGTTATCTTATTTCAAAGTTATGTTAATTTATAACTTGTCCTTTTTGACTTCAAGTGACCCATTGTCCCATATACAAACATTTCTGCAAAGTTCAATTTTATATCTGGCACTGGAATTTAGATATAAAGTATTTATGCAAGAGTTCCGTATCCAATCAGCCATTCAGTAAATATTTATTTTCAGTAAAGCATTTGGATCAATAGAAACACAGAAAATTAAAATACCTAGGAAATACCAAACAATGTTAAAGTGTAGTTCTGATAAACTCCATTCCACAGCGACTTTATGTCGGGGATGGTTGTACCTTGACTTGAAGACTTGCTTATTGAAACAATTTTAATATAATACACTCAACTTTTTGAAGTCAATATTCCTATATATATATATATATTTTTAAATAATCCGGATCATTATTTTTGGATTATTAAGAACAACACTCCAGTTTTAGAATATTTAAATAACTTAAATGTTTCAGATACGCCAGCTCTGTTTCTACGTATGATTTTACAATACTGTATACTAAAATAGATTTGAAGGACTTAATCAGAGTATTCAATAACTTGTTCGATGATTTTATAAATGCAGAAATACGTAATCCAAAATTTAAATTTACCAAAGCTCAGTGTAAAAATATACAGCATTTCTGTGTTTATAATAGTTATATTACTTTCAACGAACAAGTAAATATAAACAAACAATTGGTATTTCAATGGAAGCCAACTTTTCTTCAAATATGACCAATTGGCATTTGTTCTTTTATTATGAAAACTCATTTCTGAAACAGATTTCAAATTCAAACTTACATATATATTGTAACGACATCAAAAATTATGTGACGCTAGTAACACGTAGCGAGATTCTAGAAGGATCATGACTGTTCGTGGCAACTCTAGTCTTTTCTACGCGCTCTCTATTTTTGTATATATAAGCCCGGTAAATAAAGCAGAGATAGAATAATAGCAGATTGAAGAGAGATATAGAGACAGATAATCGAGTCAAGTGAGCGGTAGTGACGCAAGTAAAGTGTGTAAATCGTTGTGAATTATAGCGTGTGTTTAGGTTAAAGTGACTGT